GTGGCATATTAAAAGTAGACCAAGTAATTAAGAAATAAGGATTGGCTCTCACACCCTTTGAAGGCAGTGGCTCTGTGGAAGTGTACTCACCACAGGCACGCCGCCTCATTGCTGGGCAGGACATAGTGGCTTCTTCTTTGGCAGCCCTTGAGCTTCAGCCCAACTTCAGGCTTTGTGGGCCTTCCAGCAGCTGCCTCCACGGTCTTTGCACCACTGCCTTCGGTGGGCCCAGAGGGGAGCCCAGGCCCACACTCTGCTCTGGATTCCAGACCAGGAAACAGATAAAGACTGTTTCTTCAGACCCTCTCTTCTGTATCCCTTGGCTGCTTCCGACCATAGGACACAGCAAGGCTCTTCTCACAGCATATTCCTAGGCTGACTCTCTTCTGCAGATCCACCCCCAAAATGGGAACCAAGCTAGGTCAGGGGAACAAAAGAAACATAAAGGTCCTGCAACAGGCCTGCCTGCCCTCAGGAGGCTCTGAGACTTTAGAGGCTCTGGTTTGGCTCCGGCCCCAGCTGGGCCTTGCTTCATGAAGCTAGCCTAAGAGGTCCTCTCCCAGTCAGCTTCTACTGGGCTGGACTCTTCCTCTTTTAACTCCTCCCTCCAGGCTTGGCACTTCACACCTGTAACAAGGCGGGGCTGATTGGGCCCACAGACTCTCCTTAACGCTTTCTTAGTTAGCCTGTGATGGGGTATGTAGACTCCACACTATCATTGATCCCAGTGGGACAAGACAGGCAGAGTGATGTACAATACAAGAATTAGGAAAACATTTAAAGGAATTGAAAGGTCTCTGACATGAGACTGGGTGTAGGGAGAGTCAATTAACAGAATGTTAGTGGTATCTTGATGCGAAGGTGAGGGCATCTTCCTAACGGTGAGCTCTGTTAGACTTGGGAATAGTATCCCAGAGCAGGTGTTGGAAGCATCAGTTCCTGAATCATTTTAAAATGAGCCTGGACAAAGGTCTACAAAATCAACTGTAGCAAGCAATTTTATGCCAACAGGAGGTGATCTCTATGGCCCACTCTCTTCCCCCCTCCCTCATCTCTAACCGTTAGGATATTAGTCTTTTGCTGCTACGTACATGTAGAGATAAAACTGATCCAAAAAGTATTGGAAAAGACACTTTCACTCCTTCAGCTTTGTGGTCTGTCTTTTTATTTATTTATTTATTTATTTATTTTTATTTATTCTTCATTCTGTTCTACTTTCCTGTAATGAAGGTAAGTCACTTTCCTACTACCAACAGTCCTTGTGCTGAGTCAGACTTCAAAAAGCAAAGAAGCTTTTCTGAGTGGGGACGGGGGGAAGAAATCTCAAATCATTAGTAACTGAAATAGAAGATGATAGATAGTTTGACTCTGTTTAATCTTCCTTCTCCTTTCAGATGGGCTGCTAGGACTCTGGCCCTACAACATCTTAAATCAGCTACATCTAAAAGTCTTGACCTGCTACATAAGTGACTAAATATTCAAGGATCTCTTTTCATAAAAGGGAAAAGTTGAAGCAATATCCGGTAGACTTTACACAACTGTGTAAATTATTTGGAAAGGGCCTCAATTAATCCATAATGCATTGCTCAACATATTTATCAAAGGACAATTAATCTCTCTTCTCCAGAATGGAGATGATGTAGAGTAAAATATGAAGTCTCTGGGATGGGAGCCTAACTAATAGGAACTCTTGAACACACTGAAACCATGAATGCTATTCTTTTCTTCCCTGCACTCCAAGTGGATGACTGAATTATTTTCCTCGTCCACTCGTGACCTGAACTTGCTGCTGGAAGCTAACTGTGTGTATATACTGGCAAGTTTCTGTCTCTCACACAGACAGACACAGACACCTGCCTCTGTGTTCAACAGCACAAGCATTCCACATTAATGGTTTGCTTTGTGTCCTGGAGCAGATCAACACAGCACACAACAGCTGTCAGAAACGGGAGGCGCGCATGTCTCCAGGGCAGCTGAGTTCAAAACAATGAGCCAAGCGGCCACTTGAGGCATTATGGGACAGCTCTGGAGGCCAATTACAGCAATCAAGTGTCTACACTGGCAATAGAGCGCTGGAGCCTCTGCGCAAATAGCCTTACAACTCTCATCGAGGTGTGGGGTTGTTTTTTTTTTTTGGCAGCGCTGCAACAGAGGAGTTTCTGCGCACAAAGTGGCTTGGCAGTGTGGACACACGTCTGCAGTTTGAGCGCAAAAAGCTGCTTTACTGTGCAGAAACTTGCCAGTGCAGACAAGCTCTAAGAGAATACCATCAATGAAACTCTTCTAATGTAAACCTCTCTTCAGCTGGGCTTGTTACCGGCAAGTCGTTTGGCATAAGGAATAATATTTTGGAGACTAATGTTTAGTGCTCAGTTATTGAAGACTGATTGATTGAGATCTTTGGCTAATACTCTATTCCTAACATAATAAAAGGAGACTTCTCTCTTATCTTGATTTGTATCATACTTACTGTCTAACTTTGATATAGCATTGGCAAATAAACAGGTGTACTGAATAAGTGGCCAGGTACTTTTTTAATGGTAATATATAAATTGTTCATGAGGCATGAGAGTAAAAAGCCCATGCTTTAGTTTAATTTGGTTTCCAGCATGCTAGCTAGCTAGATTTTGCTAGCACATGTTTGCCAACAACAATGTTGAAGCATGATTTTTAAACTTTGTAAGGCCAGTGCAGATGGAGCATATAGCATGGCTTTTTAACACTAACACAGTTCTCCTGCCCACACAGGAGAAAGGAATAGATCTTGAACTGTGCTTACATGTTTGTGGCTAACAGTCTTAACCTTGTCTGCACTAGCATTTATCTTCATATTTCCTACCAGCAGAGCTACATGAATGGTGGGAATGCTAGTGTAGACAGGTCAGTGGTAACCACTGGAGTTTTAGACCTAGTGTTGGTTAGAACTTTTTTGAGCAGACTTAAACAATACTGTGGTTAAAACACTAGCAGCCAGTCTACATATGTGATAATGCAATGAGGGGAAAACTTTAATAAAAATACTAGGGTAGCCATAATGTGCAGAGAATCTAAAGCATTAACCAGAATGAATGAGGGACCACTTAGTCAAGATTCTTGTTACTTTTACTGACCATCTGCCAGGGGAATCCCAGAATCTAGATTTTTACTTTATTAAAAAAAAAAAAAAAAAAGGAAAGAGACTGAGAAGAAGTTTCTACTTGTTGCAGCTTTGAAATGTGAGGTCTACAGGGAGACTGGCTGAATTTTTTTGTTGGGGCACAAGGCTAGGATAATGGAAAAATTCTGCACTCAGTGTTCATTCAGCTAACAATGCATTTTAACACTTTTAAAAACCCTGTACCGATGACACATCCTTCTCCTTTCCATTGCTGTGAGAGCGATTGCAGTGAATTATAAAGCCTTGGCTCAAGGGGAAAGGGACAATGTCATTGCTAATTCTAGGTGATCGGATATCTTTTTGGGGGCTATTTTTTGTTGTCTCCATTCCACAAGTAAATGTTGAGAATCGAGAGGTACCTCAAGTTTTGAGGTAATGAAGAGAAGAAACATTTCAGGATTCTTTTAGATCTTCATATAATTGGTGGGGGGCATATGAGGCAAGACTCTGTGCTGGATTATATACTGGACTTGGCAGTCACAGCAGCTGTGGAAAAGACACACGTGCAGCTTTATTAACTTGCTTTTAGGGTTTTCCTAGGGTTACCATATTTCAGCAAGAAAAAAAGAGGACGGGAGGAGCCCCA